TTTATTTATATAGCACCAATTCACAACGACAGTCAGCCAAAGGTGCTTTATATTATAAAATAATATTAGAATGAAACCCCCAAAATTCCATGACTGAACCCCCTCTGAACAAACCTGTGGTAACACTGGGTAGAAAAAAGTCCCTTTCTAACAGGAAGAAACCTCCTACAAAACCAGGGTCAGGGAGGGCAGCCATCTGCCACAAATCATTTTGGGGTGAGTGGAAAGACAAGAAAGCAGAGAGGCAAGTCAAAAGACACACAATAGTACAATAAGCTCAGTTTCAGAATTTAGGAATTCAGAAAATATGCTTGAACTAAATAAGCATTTTGTGCAATAACAAGTTAGTTCACCAAAAAAAAAGAAAGAAAAAATTCATGTCAAAAAGAAAATATCACATTAAAAATATCATGTCTAGCATCTACATTTCTCCTCCCATCGTTGCATCTTCCTTTTTCTTCCAAAAGGAGTCAAAAGAAAAGTAATACAGCAGAGGATCCAAACAGCAGTTCACAGCAGCAAGACATATAAGTGGGGTTAAATGAGCAAAACTTTTTGTGGCTAAACCTATTTGCACAGGCAAGAAACAGATTGTGAATAAAACCAAATTCATGGCAAAAATCAGCATTACATTCACCCTTTTGTTGATCTTTGCAGTGTCACTGGGACGGTTGCATAAAGTCCAAGACACCATAATGGTGCAAATAATGTTGACTGCTAGCATTGTGACGATTAACACCATATACAAATAAATAACTGCTGATTGTGTTGCACTCATAGAACCAGTTGCAAAACAAGTGGCACTGTTTCTGTTTTTAAAACGTTTTAAGTCCATAAACCATGGGACATTCATTAACAGAACAAATAGCCAGACTACTGCTGCTCCTTTCCAGGCATTGGATGACGTTCGAAGATGGCGTGACCTCAGAGGATAAACCACAGCCAGAAGTCTGTCCACGCTGATGAAAGTAATGAAGAAGGTGCTGGAGCGGATGTTGTTGCGAAAGAGCATTGTGATGAATTGGCACATTATGTTGCTCAGTGGCCATCTGCGGGTGGCGTGAAAGTAGATCCTCATGGGCAAAGAGATGATGACCAGCAGGTCTGA